AGTTGTTGCCCAACACATCGTGAGACCAGCCGGCGCTGGTCTGGTTGCAAATGCTGGTCACTTTGGTGCCAACCTGTTTATAGTCAGAAAATGCGAAATATTTTCTATCGTTGATTATCACTTCAAAACCCTGGTTATAGATCAGAGTCCATGTGCCTGCAGACGATAAGTTTTCATAAGTATGACTATTACTGGTGACATAAATGTCTTTTTCAAACCTCTATTCCCCAAGTGATCCACTGCTGTGTTGGGGTATTGCAACTCAATCCTCACTTTATCAACCAATTTGACTGTTAGGTCGCATTTCTCGGACCTGTTGGCAGTCCTGGCGGACTCCGAGAACTCCCAAACGCCACGAATCTCCTCATAGGAACAGTTGGCCGGTGTGTCCGCACTCACACTCACCGCCAGTAATAAAGCCGACAAACAATAGCCTATATTCAACATTTTCTTGACTATATTAGTTTACTTAAACCGACTGTGAATTCTTTATATAGGTACAAATATTGGTACACTAAGGTCCATGATAAGTGTGAGTACTTCCCAGGTGTTGACCATAACCCCTATCACGAAACATTTCGATCGCATTTAACATTGAAATAATATTATGATTTTCGGCACATGTGTTCAAAATTCTATCGTTTGTCATAAGTTTTGTGATAAATTAATTTTATCTTAATTTAGTTAGAAGAGCAAATAGACTGATTACCCTTCAATGCAGTAATACTGTATACACTATTATTTGTGTTAATTATCAAATTAAATTTAATACAGTAATTATTTTTATTAAATATATTATTTTGATCAATTGTAAAAGGTGCTCTGAATATTGAGAAAATTGATAAAAAGCACACTGTTTAAAAGTACTTTGAATTCTTATGCTACGGTATATAGATATTCTGTCAGTACCAAACAATCAGCTTAATCTTTAAAAATAATTTCAATAAGTTAGGTTACATTTAAATACAGTATAAGACGTCTAATATTACTGAAATGTAATATGAATAATATGTCATTTTTAAAATAACAATTTAAATAATACTTGTTGTAAATCTGATTTAAATTTTAAACTTTTTAATAGCCGACAAATATTGAGGTTAACAACTGATGAAAATCTTAACCAAAATATTAATATAAAAATTTTTACTTTTAAAAAGTTTATGCAATACAATGAAATACATTCCACAAACAGAAAACTCTATAAAAGTATTGTAAATCGATTAAAAAATAAATGTTAAGATTATTAATAATTTCAAAAATATTCCTATACTTGTAATATGAATAGTTTTGGACACAATATTAGTTCATTTTATCTAAATTTTATTTACGAGGAAAGTTTGTTACAAAACTTTGAGCAAACATTTAATAAAACATTTATTCGACAAAACGGTTTGCTAGGAATAAATGCTGAAAGCGTTAAAAAACCTATTGAATACTAATAAACTAGCTCATAGTAATCATAACCATAAAATGGCCAATAGTTTGGATTTCAAGGGCAAAGTGGCCGTAATTACCGGCGCCAGCAGTGGTATCGGTGAAGGGATAGCCAAATATCTGGCTGAATTGGGCGCACAGGTGGTCATCACTGGACGCAATGCTAATAATCTAAACCGTGTGGCAAAAGTGTGTCAAACCATTTCACCAAAAGGACTAAAGGTTTGTCAAAACATATATCAGCATAAATATAAGTGAAATCCTATTGATAGGCACTGGAAGTGGTGGCCGACATCACCAAAGAGGATGAGGCCCGGCGTCTAATTGACGAGACTATCGCTGCCTTCACACGCATTGATGTCCTGGTGAACAACGCGGGCCAGTCGTGGCCCACATCCATATACGATCCAAACGTCATCCAGAACTACGAGAATGTCATGGATCTGGACCTGCGGTCAGTCGTCTATCTCACGAGTCTAGCCGTCCCTCATCTCGAGAAATGTAACGGAAATATCATCAATATCTCCAGTATTGTCGCACTTAAACCCGTAGGTAATCCACAGTTTATGAAAGCATTTTTTACACATCCCTTTCCTTGTCACCAAAGTTAGGGCAGTTCTTCGGCTATTGTATGGCTAAAAGTACCCTGGATATGTTCACAAAGTGTTTGTCACTGGAATTGGGGCCGAAGGGTATTCGTGTCAATAGTATAAAGTATGACATACCATACCATACCATACCATATCGTATAAACAAAACTTAATTTACTAAATATTTTAAATACGATTACAGTGCGGGTGCTGTGAAGTCCAACTTTTTAGGTAAACTACTTTTGAACACAATTTCAAATAATTATTTCTGAATACCAATTGCTTATCACAGCCGCGATCGGTATGACTGAAGAGATGATTAAAGCGCAGGAGGAAAGCCTACGCCAATCGTCGCCGTTAGGCATGTATGGCGTCCCGCAGGACATCGCGTATGTGGTGGCATACCTGGCCTCAGACGACGCCTCATTCGTAACGGGTGTGAACCTGTCGGCCGACGGTGGCGCCTATCTCTCAGACATTAAAATTGTTGAGAATTAATAACAAATACTTTTACGAAAACATTTTATTGATAATTATTGTACCAATTGTTATAATATTATGCTTAATTTTTGTGCATTTATTTTAATTCAGTTTAGACTTTGTTGGACCTTGCACATTATGTGAGTAATAATTTTATCAAAATATAAGAATTACTATCTCTATGATAAGTTAATATACTTGAGTTAAATAGCCATTTATTATAAATAACTTATGTCATTTAATTAAAATTGTATAAAAAATTAACAAACTAAACACTTTTAGTTGTCTAATAGGTATTACTGGTACTTATTATACCGATAAATGTATACACAATAGATTGTCTCTAACTTTATTACCGTATATTCAATATATAAAACAATTAAAACTTTAAAGTACTGTATATTTTGATTGATTTGAATTTGAACAAAT